TACTTATAGTATGGGCTAAGTGATCCATCATTATGTAAGTGGGCTAAACCAATAATATAACCCATGGATAGTCCATGGAGGTTGAACCCATGGATCATATGAATGTGGAAAGTCATGGATCATTAGGGTTTACAAAGTGTAACCCTAGCACTTGCCACAACTATAAATAGCCCCCTCCATACTCCAAAATCGGTTGCACCAACCATAAAGACAAGTAACTTATTCTCTTAGAACCTCCTCTTGCATATTGGTGTTTATGAACCATTGGATGCATCACACTTGAGGTGCTCAAGCTTTCAAAGGTCAAGATCTCTACCCTACTAAAGAGGTATGTATCCTAAATATGTTTTGATTATATATAGCTTCAATTGTATGCTAGCTAGGCTGAATGCTTTGGAAAAAGAAAATGCATGTATAATTAGAGAAAACATAGATCCAAAGCATTTAGGGTTGCATGTGCACTTTGGAAATGTAATAGTGCTCAAAACCCAACAATATCTGCATCTTCCACAATCCAAAATTCTGACCTTTGAATTATTGATCTTAATCTTCCCATCATCAACCATATCTATGATATTAGTTTTTAGTATTAAGGACTTCGACAAAAACCAAAAAAATATATATTATAAAGATGTAGAGAACAATAAAGAACACAGAGATTTGATGCGGTCCACTTTGACTAGAGTGATCAAACTAAATCCACAAACAAACTAGAGATATATTTTATTGATAATCTTAAATACACACTTTCTGCATTGGGGCTTCAATCTTATTGAGAAATCAATGTATGGTAAAAGTTTTCTGGATGGTGGCTCGTGGGCCTATGATACAACTGATATAAGTTGGGCCAATGATACCAAACTTGCTCCCTAAGTTACAAGGCTAAAACCAGATTTCATCGAATCATCGTCTGAAACTACTACTGATCATTGAATACCAAATCATGATTTACACCGAAGGTGAAGCTCAATTGATGAGCTTCACTCTTAGTAGTTGTGCTTTCGCGTTTAGCTTCATTACCAAGTCTTTAGAATTCACTTCAAACTTTATTTTCAGTTATTCTTACAAATTGTGATTCTGACTCGACCGCAACCTGCAAATTCGCCCAAAATCAACTCTGAAAAACCTTCGGCTAGGGCTTCGCACTTGAGAGAAGCTTGCAACAACAATTTCCGTTAAGCCTCAGATTATGTTGAACCAACCCCACAAGGGGCACCTTCCCCTTGATCCCCACCCACTCTTTCAGGAGGAGGACTCATGTTTGGTCTCTGTGACAAGAATGATGTTAAATTGAAAATAAGAAGTTCATAACTCAAAACGTAATTCGATAGAGTATTAGTGCTTTAGGTTTGGAAACGCTGCCACATGGGAAAACATATTTTCATTTACAATTGATATTGAACTTAACATTTATTTAGTTTGATACTTGAATAAAAGAATATGATATACTTCTAGCAAAATGAACACCATATTCTTCCTCACATCTTTTCATCTTATGTCATCTACCTCCTATTAGGGTTTCAATCTTCATGCAAAAATTAGTAGATTTTTGCAATTTAAAAGATTTATTTACGATCTTTATTATTTAGCACCCTATTAGGTTTTTGTTTGTTTATAAGATTAAGGTCCATATGTTCACTTTTGATATCAACAAAAAGCTTCTCACTTGAGAAATATGAATTACTGATAAGAAGTTGTTTGGGGAACAAAGTTTAAAAGATGCTAATCATAATAATGATGATGAAATTAATTTATATTCTAGTTTATCGCCTCTAATTTTTTATTGTATTCACTGTTTAAAAAAAAAAAAGTAAAAATCTATAAATGAAAGCATAATTATTGCTAATCATATGCTAATCATATGGTTTATCAAAGGTCATTAACTTAATTATTGCTATTTTTTTACGAACATGGCCCGCGGTTTCCAAAACTTGCATGAATAGTCATTTTTTGCTAACACCGTTAGTTTTCGTCCGCTAGTGTGAGAATAATTTGATCTTTTCATGTGGCAGGAACTTAGTTTGGAATCATCGGTAAACCATAAGGACCATTAATATAATTTTATAAATAATTTTGTCATAAGTGTCCTATAAATTTTCATTTAAATAAAGGTAATCAACTCATTTTCATTCCAAAGTAGATAAGTAACCAATGTATGAGTTTGATAATACCAAAAGCCAAATATCATAGGTTTGAAAATATAAAAAAATCATAAAATGCAGAAAGTCTCCAGTGGATGAAATGCAATAAAGTCGCGCCCTTTCCTTTGCTACCAGAACAATTTAAAACATTTAAAACTTAAAAGTTAAGCACAAAACTTAGTGAGTTTCATGCATAACACATACCGATCTAAATTTTATGGGTCAAACATAATCTTACAATCACTTTCGTTTACAGTCCCCTTACAAAGTTTCTTGTTATATCCCCCCCCCCCCTATTGTCTTTCATACAATTTTTATGGTCCACCCATAGTATTTTATGCAATTCACAAAGCCAAACATGCATACCATTACACCTAGTGTCCTAGATAGTATAGTGAGAAGTCTCACATTAATACAAAAGTCGAAATCCAAACACTTGATATCACCCGAAAGTAGCAATACCACTAACTAAACCAAACAGAGGCTAGACATCGATCGATTTCTTAAAACTCGAAAGTTTGACTAAAAGTCAAAATGATCAAAAAGTCAACGGTCACTGGTCAAAGTCAATAGTCAATCCCCACCACGTCATAGACAAGCCCTACACCGCACCGTGGTCACTAAACGCCAAAGTTGTAAAAAACGTTCGACGCTAGTAGTTGGTGGACTCGAGTTAAAGAATAAATCAGCTAGACGATGATTAATTGTGGACAATAAATTGCTATTTCATTGAATTAAAAAAAAAAAATTGACTAATAATATAACAATGTTTGTAAATACCAATAAGGGAAGAGGGAATCGTTCCCTTCCAACTTACTGAAGCCACTGTCACAATTTTTGTCTCTTCTTTTTCTTTATCTTTTTCAACCCACAACACACGGAAATTATATTTTTCTCAACCCACTCAATTAAAAAAAATACAATACAACTAAGGTATAAATTTTAAAACATATGGTACAAGAGAAAATGAGAAAGAGAAAGTAAAGAGATAATGAAGTGGATTAGTGAAACCAATCAACTAACTCGTTGAAGTAAGAGAGGTACCGCCGATAACTTTATTACTAATTAATATTTTACTTTGATTGTTTTGTATTTTTTTTTTTTAACTGAGTGGGTTAAGTGGTTAAAAAGGATAGGGTTTCTGTGTATTGTGGGTTGGAAAAGATGAAGAAAAATAAAAGAGAAAAAGTAATGTGACAGTGAGTTCGGTGGGTTTGGAGGGAATGACTCCCTCCACCCTAATATCTTAACAAAATAGGTTAATATGATTAACAGAACTCTAATAATTCTTCAAATAGGTTCTATTAAAATAGACGAAAACTAAAGATGTTACCAAAAACGACAATTCAAGCAAGTTTTGGAAACCACATCTACAATGTTCATAAAAAAAAAGTTAACAATAAATGAATTTATGACATTTAAAAAACCAAAAGGACCATTTATATAATTTTGTCTTATATTTACTTTAAAGTTAACATTAATAAATCTAATAAATTTCTATATGAGTGTTGATCATGACCATAAAAGAAGTGACCATGATAGTGTTTCTTTGTCGATATCAGTTTAAACGGTTGAATAAAAACTAAAGACAATGAAAATCAGATACACATGATTAGAAAAACCACAATAAATATTTTTAGTGTACTGATATTAGGTATTGTTTTTCTTTTGATTTAAGTTTCGTCTGGGACATAAACGATGTTTAAAGTAATTTATGAGCAAATTGGATTTGTCGTGTATATATATATATATATATATATATATATATATATATATATATATATATATATATATATATATATATATATATATATATATATATATATATATATATATATATTAGGTATTGTTTTTCTTTTGATTTAAGTTTCGTCTGGGACATAAACGATGTTTAAAGTAATTTATGAGCGAATTGGATTTGTTGTGTGTATATATATATATATATATATATATATGGAAAAGTGAATATACCCTTAAGGGTATATAAGCTTATGTACTCAAATTCACCATACTACGTCGTTTTGTAATATATATATATATATATATATATATATATATATATATATATATATATATAATATATATATTGTAATAGTCCAATATTCTTATAATTCAACTTCTAACATGATTTACTTCCAAGATTTTTATAAATTTCACATTTATCTTCCTTTTATATAATTTTCATTTTCAACTATAATATATATAGTCTAGTAGGTGTTTGGCAAAAAGATGTAATGTAAGAGAAATATAATAATGAAATTTTGAAAATCTTGAAAATAAATCAAGTTAGAGATTGAAGTTTAAGAAAAATATAATAAATATATCAAACAAAACATATTGTGATGGGTTTGAGTATCTGAGTTTATCTACCCTTAAGGTATATTCACTTTTCTCATATATATATATATATATAACAAGTTATCTAAAAAAAAATTAATTCTATCAAAATCTAAAACATTATAATATATCAAACCTCATACATATCACATAGTTATCAACCAAACGCAAACTAAAATGTCCAAATTATGTGAGCACTATTACAAAATGACTATATTTTCAATAAATGTTACAGGATGATCATTTAAAAGAAACAAACTTTAAGAACTCGTTTCTTTCTATTTTCAATAAATGTTACAGGATGATCATTTAAAAGAAACAAACTTTAAGAACTCGTTTCTTTCTTATAAGATTCAATCTTTTCGTTAAATTATCTTATTTTTAGGAAATTACATATTATATATTTTTAAACGGCATCACTTTTTAATCTATTAAACCCTTGTTAGAAAATAAATCTGATAGGGTGAAAATGTGTCCAAAGGAATCGGACGGTCGCAAGAACACCTACTAGGCACAGCGGCGATGGGTGGATTGAGGTCCGTCGGAAGAGAAACTCAAAAGATTACTCTAAGGAGGTCGTTTGCTTTTACGTCACAAACTTTCAGGCAGACAATAGCAATGGTAAGGAAATCCTTCCAGACCTTTGGAAAGTTGGTGGTTATTTACATCCCTGGGAGGAAGGACAAAGGAGGCTCGTTTTTTGCATTCATCATATATGAAGGAGTCAAAGATATCGATTCACTTGTGTTAACACTTAATCAAGTTAGATGTCGGCACTATTTAGCAAAGGTCAACATTATAAAGTATGTGAAGAAGCTGCCCTACTTATTCTTCCTCCAAGATCCAATCGAACTAGTCAAACGGTGATCCCAAGCACAAAATGGAAAAATATTTGCAACGGAAAATCTTTTGCTGAAGTTGTCTTTGGGAACCACACGAAATATGCTACTACTCCTTACTCTCCTTTTGTGGAGATCCTAATGGTCCTTCTGAAGAGAGCTCCAATGTTTGACTCATGTAACAGTTGATCCCCATCGGGGAAGTCAAGGGTTTGAAGCTATTAAACAATATGCACACTCTTCTAAATGTTGATGAGAGTACTCCAGCACACGTGCTATACGCTGAGGGTTAGAAGATTATACTAAAATTCCATTTCCGGGGAGGAGCGAATACTTTCATGGCTGATACTCACAAATGGAGCAGATGGATAAAATGGCTCAGAGTTGAATTCGTAGAAGATCTAACAAATGATAGGCTGGCTAGAATTAGGATATTGGGGTTACCTAATCATCTTCGCTCCAATGAGAATATCGCATTAATCACAAGCAGGTTCGGGAAGGTTCTTGAAGCAGAAGGGCATAAATGGCACTCTATGGATCTCTCGTCATGTTATGTAACATTCATAAAATTATAGAAAATTTTAAACTTTTTAAAAAACCTAAAAATCATCATTGTTTACAAATTGTTTTCAAGATAAGTTTCATATCAGAGAAATCCCAAAATCGTAGAACCAAAAAACATGAAGAAGTGCACGATCACGCATTCGCCTTGCCACGATCCTCAAAAGTACCTGAAAACACAATCCAAAAATGTAAGCCCATAGTTTAATGAGTTTCTCCCAAAATACCACCATAATACATAATCATACATATCACAGCAACAACACGCATACAGAACCTTCAGAATGTCCGGACTGCCACACTGGGCCTTCAGCCTATCTGGATCGTTCTTCGGGCCTTCGGCCTGACTAGTCTGCCTCTCAGGCCTTCAGTCTGTCCGGTCCGCCCTAGGATTCTTGGCCTTTAGCACAAAGCAGGACCGCGTAAACCCAACCACACACACACATGTTGACATATACATATCTCATAACATATAATCAATCAACAGTCAAACACATATCATATAGGTCAATAACCATAACAACATCTTATCTACCATGATCCATATCTAACATATCACTATAATACTAAATCATATAATAATCATGATAACAATCCAAATAGTCGGCCTTGGTGCCTTCGACCCAAAAGTATAGTGAAGAAGACTCACCTCACAAGTAGTGCTGAATTGATAAGATCAAACTCTTAATATTGACTCCTGACTCAAATGCCTACAACCACCATGTGACCAATTCCACCAAAACCCCGAAATACCCAAATTCCCTCAAAAATCAAAGTTGGTTAACCACAGTCAAAGTCAAAGTCAACAGTCAAGGTCAACAATCCATGTTGACCCAACTTGACGAGTTTCTACATTATACAAAAAGTTGGGAAAACCCTAGCCAACTCGCCGAGTTGGTTAGAAAACTTGTCGAGTTTTCCCAGCTTAACACATTCAGTCCTTTTTTATCGAGTCTAATGATTTAAGATGTAGATCTGGTACCTAAGAGCTGGAAAACCACGTAAAGTTGTCAACTTTACGTTCATGCATGCCACAAAGAGGCTCTAGAACTCAAGAAAGGCTTAATAAGGATCTTAATGCATGAATGAGGCCTAGAACCTAATAAAGCTTGTAACTTTAAGCCAAATAAGGCCACATAATAGCTAGATCTAAGGTGACAATCCAAGAAATGCTCAACCCCATGAATAATCCAAAAATGAGCTAAATACCACAATAAAACTTCCAATGAAGAGATCTAAGAAATAATGTAGCAATGTGTCTACTTTATACCTCAAAAAAACTGCAACACGTGAGGAAGTTCTGGATCTATAGCCTTCCCTTCAATTTAGACACCTCAAACTTCAAGCTCCTTTAAAAGAACACCAAAAATCAACTCTTCAAGCTCACACACTCAACTTGGAAGATGATGCACAAAAATTAAGGTTTCTGGATAGAGGAGGCTGGCAATGAGGCCAGCCAATGGACTTAAGATCTTTAAATAGGGTGCAACACCCTAAAAATTAGGATTTCATAATCAGCTGCCAACTCGTCGAGGTAAGGCATCTCGACTCGCCGAGTTGGTCCATTAATATCCGTGACCAATATTATCTCAACGCAATGAGTTGAGGCATTCCAACTCGTCGAGTTGCTAAGGAAAGATATGATTAAAGTTAGATATATCGTCTTTGGCATATAGTTTTTTATTTTTATCTTTTACAAAAAATTAAAAAAAAAAAGAGTAAATTACATGAATGGTCCCTATGGTTTGGGGTAATTTGCGCGCTTGGTCCCTAACTTATTTATTTAACTCAGAAGGTCCATATAGTTTGTTTTTGTTACGTGTCTGATCCCTAAAAATATTTCTACATGAATTATCAAATCCGAGTACTCCCCGAGCACTCCTGAGTACTCCCGAGTAACGAGTTCTACAACCTTGGATGCGAGGGAGTAAAATCACGTCGAAATGGGTCACGTTTTCGAGTATGAAAAAATATCGGAGACTATGAGAAAAGATCCAAAATGGATTAAAACGACAACATCGTAGGAGGTACAATTAAAGATATCTCGCAATTCAAGTTTATTTTACGTTTCTGACGCACGAACTAACATCGACCTCAATGTCAAACACCGATGACCTCTACGGCGAGTTTCTACATTGAGATCTTCCCCCCCCCCCCCCCCCCCCCAAATCGACCAGTCGGACGTGATAAAGCGAAACACGCTCAACAAAATGCAGATGAAGCTGAAAGAAGGGCACAAGAGGTGGCAGAATGAAAGAAAAGTTCGACCAACACAATTTAATAGAAAAATAAAGAGTCTAAGTGTAACATCAACACTTGGAATTCCTTCGTCATCAAGCAGATGGAGATCAACTCATGTAGGGTTTGATAATTTTTTGCACCAGCGAAGAAGATATGGCACCACGAGATTTGGGAGTCTACAAAAAATATTTGGACTAGGACTATCGTTCAATTGTTTTAAAAATTATAACTATTGTATTTTATTTTCTTGTAATGCTTTTTCTTTCACGTAAAGTTCTTTTTTTTTTCAAATGTTATGTCTAAATTGTTTAAATGAAAATTTTTTATGTTTGTTTTTATAATTATTAAAAAAATCAAAAAAAAAAAAAAAAACAAAATAGAAAGGAAATAAATTGAAAAAACAAATAAATCGAAAAAATGATAACATCAAAATTATTGGGTGTATAACATATTGTTCATTTCCTATTTTTAATGTTATAATACCATATATAACATAACTTAAGTTACAATTTTTAACTATGATAAGATGTTTTAATGTTTTGGTTAAATCCAACAGCCTAAAAAAAATATTGTATTTGTCATGTAGTTTTTTATGTTCTGCTTTTACAAAAATTTAAAATTGAAAAAAAAATCATCTTGACAACAGGATCTTTTATTTATATTTTAAACTAAAGGTTATTTCAATAGTATAAAAGGCTTTTAGATTTTGAAAGCTTTTAAGCTTTTAACTTTTAATTAATTTTATATATTTAAAAGGTAACAAATATTTCTTCTAAATAATTCTATATAAATAAAATGTCCAATTTTAGTATCCAGCTACCAAACATTAACTGAGATCTACCCGTTAATTTTGTCAAATATGCCAAAATTTAATTATGCTCCTTTGTTTAAGAGTGTGTGATTGGAATAGGGTACGGAAATCGCGCCATATAACCTTTACCTCGGAGGGAATATTTGCAACGTTAAATATAACAAATTAATTATTATGACTTTTGACCAAATGTCGTCCACCGACACTAACGTTCCGGTGATTAAGTGGTTTTTTCCGGCAACAAATTAACGGGAAACAAACGCCAGTCATGGCGTTGGATTCTTGGCGGCAATTATTAAACCCATGTGAAATCCTGCCTTTTCTTCCTTCGTGTGGGGCCACAGTCAACAACCATGTCAACTACTCTTCAAGTTATAACGTGATTACGTCACGTGACACCTTTTGTTTCTTTTTGTATGCGAAATTGAGATTGTGATTGATATAAACAAAAATCAATCTTATTTTTTATTTTAGGCATTTTTAATTGGTTAAAAAAACTAGAGAAATAATTGTATTTATTTGTTCTCGGAACTGATAATGTACGAGAAGTTCAATGGTAAATCCAAAATATTGACGTAACGATTGCGAAAGAACGAATGTCTGTATAAGAAAAGCATATGCAAAGACAAAATGTCATTTTCATCGCCAATCATATATTTCAACGAATATCATAAAAATTAGACATATAATTGGTAATTTATATTTATTTAACTATTTGTTAGGTTTTATAAGAGACAAATTATGACTTATAATTGTAAGTTATAATTGTACGTCATAGAAATACAGGTTATCATAGACATAACTTATGTTTGTTATAATCCCAAATTACATGTAAATATTATCTACGTATTAAATTGTTAAGTATATATCAAGTTAGGATGCAAATGTGTAGATTTAGGAAGTTATGTAGCGAATGTAAGGTACAAAAAAGTCAAGCTATTTGTGAGCTATACGGGATCGGCTCGCTAAAACTCGATTCAAAACCGATTTTAAACAAGCTTGAGCTCGAGCATATGTCACTAAGTTTGATTAGGCTCGCGAGCCTAAACGGACCTTTATATAATATAATTCATTATTATTTTTATATATTAAAATAAAAACATATTTGGAGAATTAGGGATTTAAGGTATTAATTAACGAGCTCGAACCGAACTTAAGCTTATTTAGGTACGTCAGACAAAAAAAGAGCCGAGCCCGATCCGAGCTTATGTAAATTTTTACGAGCTCGAGTCGAGCTCAATACAAATAAGCTCAAATCGAGCCGAACTCGAGCTCGAGCCTCGTATAACTTAAACGAGCCCGAACCGAGCCTGAACAGACTCGAGCTTAGCTCGGCTCGTTTGCACCCCTAAGTGAATGTGTGTAAGTCGTTCTAAAAAATGGTTCTTCAATTCCACACTCCCCTCACAAAGGAG